ACGACACGTCGAGAAACCAGGCCGGAACGTGGTGGCTCTGGCTTTAGGAGTGTGGACCCGTCTGTGACGAGAGAACGCAGGCTGGTGGTGACGCGTCAGAGAACCAGGGTCGACCTAGTCAAGCAGCTGGGCGCACAGCTCGGGCCCGGAGCCCGACGGCTGTAGCTCGCCTGCCGGAACCAAAGTCCGCAGGCCCTGGAAAGGAGTTCAGGACCGGATGGCCACGGTCCTTTGGAGCGGGAACCCGACAGCAGGAGGCCCCGGCCGGTGGAAGTCCTGTAGGCTCGGGTCCGGAACCCAACGGCCCATCTTCAGCGCCCGGTCCGGTGACGACCTTCCGCTTGCACTGCCTGCCTCGAATTCCCCTTGCTCTCGTCTCCCCAGGCTCCTGCTTCAGCTCTGGCCCACTTGTCTCGTTCTCATTGGAGATACTACTGTTTCGTGGTGTCAAGCCATTGGGCCTTGAAATCTCCGTGTTCGCTGCCCATTGGATGTTTTACCTTTTGTTTACTTCACGTCCTGCCACGCATCCTCGTGCTTGACGCTCTTTAACGTCGTCATTCTTGTTTAAGCAGCACCGCACGTGCACTCTGGTATTTCTCCTTTTGTTTTTTTTTTTTTCCGTGACGCGCACTTTTCGAAGCGCGCACTTTGAACGCGCACCACACATCACATACGCCCCCCTTTTATTCAAGTTTTTTTTTTAGAAAAAAAAACTGCCGATGAGTGCGCGTTCTGCACTACGTCACAATTAAACCACATATTTGCACCACGCAGTTCAACACATCACCGGGCTACAGTTCGCTACATCGTCCAAATGTCCACACTTAAACTTTAGATTCACCCAATTGCATTTAAAAGTTCTGAAACCCGGAATAAACCTTTTTACTACAAAATCGACTATGGACAAAGCTACTTGTGTCCGCATCTAAAAGTCGAAGTCCAGAAAGAGCTACCGGTTTTCTAACCCTACACTCAGGTTATCGCGTCCCAAACCAGACGCACTGCCCTTCTCGCACGTTTCGAAAGTAACTGTGGCAAACATGCTTTTATGCACTTTCGCTGAAACGCGTGTCTGCGCCCCCGCCGGCCACATGAACGCTTACCGGTCACAGAGGAACAGGGCGCGGTCTCGAGCCGTCGGCGTCGACACGAAACGCACTGAGACACGAATGTCCAAATGCCACAATCTCTCACACAAATGCTTTCTTTTAGTTCACCATCTAATGAACACAAGCTCGGGGTGCCCTCAGCAAGCCCAAACGCTCCGACAAGCGTGTGAGGTTCCTGGATTCTTGAGAAGGGATGCCGTTGTGCTCGGTCATTATACAGCTCATCTTGAGTGGACTTAATTATAGGTTCAAAACCAATCACGTTCTCAGGTTCAAGACCCTGTCTGGCATTCTCCATACCTACTATCGAGCCCACCTCCGATTCGATACTGTTTATTTTGAAGAGTGCTTCAGCACTCCCATCGTGTTTTCTCGGACAAATAGCAGTTACGCTATCCTGTGAACTAGAATCCCCTCTCTCTCTGAGTGAGATATACGTATGGTCTAGGACCATTGACGTGGTGCCTGCTGCTACCTCTGTCGGTACAAAACAATCAGTGGCCACTATATCAGAGCCTTCATGGCATTCGCTGCCATCTTCCCAATGACGTTCTAGCGCTCCTTCCATGGAGCTATTGAGAGGTAGCCCTACCCCTTCCCGAAATGTGCTCGGCCTCTGAGACGTTCTGATACACACCTCATTCTGAATGGAGCTTCTTCGTTCCCTGCTATCGAAGCTTTGCTCCACAACATTTTCCACAGCTTCTAGGTCGCCCATATCCAGGCGCTCTTCTTCATAGGTGCTTGGCCTCTCAGAGGTCCCCAAGCAGCTAACGGAAGTAATATGTTCCCAGCCAGAGAAGCTTTCCGTCGCTTCAACAAACTCCTCATGACTCCTGCCTTCTTGGCTGTCCACCTCTCTGCCTTCCTCTATCTGAGCTTCTCGCTCCGAAGTAAGGCTGTCGCGAGGTTCGAGGCCAACCTTGCAGGAATCGACTTCCCTCCAGCAAACGCTGCTATCGGAGCAAACATTCACCGCTTGCTCGACCTTCTGCATCGCCAGCTGCCCCCTTTTCGCCATCGCAAGCTCGAGTCGCCGCTCGAAGTCCACCCTCTCTAATTGGAGCTGCTGCTTCAGTATGCGTGTCTGACGCTCTAGCAACACTTTATTTTCACGCGTTACGCGCTCTAGCTCCTCCTTCTTAGCTCTAAGCACCAATTCAAGCTTTTCCTTCGCCGCCTTTCGTTCTGCAGCCCGTTGCTCACGCTCCCTCTCCATCCGCTCCTCGTACCATACTCTAAACTCCGCTCCCGTCAGTCCCATTTTATCCGCCAACTCAATTAACTCCCACGTGTTCGTCATCGTGTTAACCGCGTCAAAAAATCTACTGGAAAAACAAACGACTTTGTCCTGTCGCTGCGGACGCCAATTTGTGATGCGGGTTCTTGTTGCTGATTTGTTTCTCCTGGTTGAGCCCCGGAGAGTTTTTCTAATAAGGACAAAGCCGTTTGCTTAACAAACAACACCTAAACATTTACTGCAGAACTGAAGCAAAACTCAAACACAAACTACAAGAAATGAGTAGCTGGCTAAAAGCGGGATTTAGAAGGAAAACAAACATCTAAAGTCCCGAAACTGCCGACGGAAAGTCACAGCTACATGATGCAGTTCTGACGCGGTGATTCGGCGGTGCAGGGAAGAGAGCAAGTTCGATCTCACCAAAACGTTGCTGCTGTAATGGTGGCGACGGCGTGTACCGATGCTCGCTGGCGGCGACGATGGAACGGGACTCGCTCGGTGATGCCTGTGGCGGCCCAGATTCGCCCGATGAGGTGGCTGGTTGCAAGGCTCAGGCCCGTGACCCGAACTGCCGTTGCTGCACCCGCACCGGAATCTGCAGGCCTTGGTCTCGACCGTTGAGGCAGCTCGCCGTCCTTGGAAGGCGTTGTCCGGAGGTCCAGACCGGGTGAAGTCCAGAAGGCTCAGGTCTGCCACCCGACTGCCTGTCTTCAGCTCCCAGCTGTGACCTTCCTCTTGCCTCGTTCACCTCGAATTCCCCTTGCTCTCGTCTCCCCAGGCTCCTGCTTCAGCTCTGGCCCACTTGTCTCGTTCTCATTGGAGATACTACTGTTTCGTGGTGTCAAGCCATTGGGCCTTGAAATCTCCGTGTTCGCTGCCCATTGGATGTTTTACCTTTTGTTTACTTCACGTCCTGCCACGCATCCTCGTGCTTGACGCTCTTTAACGTCGTCATTCTTGTTTAAGCAGCACCGCACGTGCACTCTGGTATTTCTCCTTTTGTTTTTTTTTTTTCCGTGACGCGCACTTTTCGAAGCGCGCACTTTGAACGCGCACCACACATCACACATACAAAACATCGACGTGTTGTTATGGTGCCTCACATATGCACAGTAATTGCTTTTTAATACACAATCGCACAAGTGCTGAACCTTGAGCAATATTGGTGGGCGTTGCGGATGGCGTTGGCCATTTGAGGTATCGTTTGATGCTTTTAGAGTGACCATTACCGCGGACAAACTGACAAATGTACAGACAGACAGGCCAAAATTTTGGCGTTGAAGGTCCCCGCGAAAGACTACAGTCTTCAAAATCACGGTGTTTTAACTCAGTTATGCCTTGGTGTGCGTATAGAGAGGTGTGGTTAACCTTACTGTTTAGCTCGGTTTTGTGTACGGTTACGCTTATCCAGGCGTTCGGCTCGTTCTTCCTACAACTTGTCTTGCTCCCTCCTCCTTGTTTCGTTCCAGCGATGAAACCTGGCTTCTTTCAATCTCTCCGACTAAATACTGTACATATCTGGCAAGAAATCCCACCGAGTCGCCCCTTTCGTATATAAGGTGTAATGCCTGTTAGTGCTGTGTTGTTTCAACGCCGGTTCCTTCTTTGACGTCTTGCCAGATGGCGCGGGGAGCGGCGCTGCCAGCAGCGGCGGTTGCTAGGCAAACGCTCAGCCCCCGGTGCGGCCTCTGGCTGTAGTAAAACGGTGATCATACGGCTAATGTCTCTCATTAAAATAAGAAAACAGAATCTGGAAGCCATACTTGGCTCACACATTCTGTGTTTCAGAGGTGACTGTATTGTCCGTCCCTGTAGTTCTAGAACAATAATCGCAGTAACGTCGACAGTCGTTGTGATATATCTTCTACAAAAGCTTTTTTTTTTGCTTCTCCGTGTGTATTTCTTGTCTCTTAGAAGAATTTAAATTCTAGAGAAACGTGAAACGTCAATACCGCACGTGTAGGCGCATTTACACTCACATCGCTAACTTCATTGGTATTATCACACAATTAACAATGAAACCATGTCACTTTGTCGTTAATGTCAATGCCGCATGTTTATTACTGCTGATGTTTGCTGCCGTCTCGTAGAATTGCTTTAGTTTGAAAACAGCTTCTACCTCTTCCGCGCTGTTTAGTCCTTCCTCTTTGAAGGGTGTGGTTACAAGGATGGCATGATATGGTACTGATGTTTCTTTTGTTTTTATTTGCTTTGCTTAATTATTTCGCGATGTACACGGTTAATAAGACGATGCACTGCTCTTATATCTTGAATAAAAATGTAACCTGGAAGCAAAATGGGCAAACGAAAAGAACTATGCAAAAAGGAAAGCAGCTGTGAAGGGATGTGCTATATTAGTCTTGTTTTACGTAACCTGCCATTTTATCATTTCTTCTTCGCACGATCCACTGCTCCGAAAGATGGTCTCATCGATAATAGTGGCACAGCGATGTTTCAGGCATTGATGAAAGGCAAGAATAGTGGTTCGTCGACATGAATTATTATAAAGTACTACCCCTTATTAGTTGGATTGGCAGACATCACAGCCTTTCTTTGCGTGCGTTTGTTCGCGCATGTGCGCTCGATTGTGTGCGATATAGAGAGATAAAAGAGACGGCTAATGCTGCTTGTGGTCGTCCCATTTCTAGGTTGTGTGCACGCACGGCCGGGAGAACATAGAGTCATGGGGGCGTCGCAAACGGTCTGCCCGCCTTTCCAAGAGGACAACTGAGGAAATGACACTCAGCCAGGAGATCTTGGTGCTGGACATCGGCGATGACACAGCTGCCAGGTCCATGACAGAGCGGCCACCCACAGTGAACGGTGAGCTTTCGGCTGATCCCAGGGCTATTGACGGAACAAACAATTTAAGAAATGTCATCAGAGTAAGAGAAAAAGCGTGGAGAACAATTCTCATGTGAACCTGAACACACACACAGAAAAATACGTCGTATAACTTCCCTTTCTTGTGTTCTGCTACTAGTAGAGCCAGAGCTCTACTGGGGTGGGGAGAAGGTGCCAGTTGGATGTTCTCCATGTTGTTTGGTTCAGTCCACTTCATACTTATGTTCTTCTTTGGATTTTTTTAATGCGGGTCTCAGTAACGTGCGGGATTCCTGTGTTCTGCTCAAATTGAGTACTCCATTATAGGTATTTATCTCTAGTCCCGAAAAAACGGGAACAGCCATAAGGCGTACGCGTAACATTGTCTTCATGGCTCAATGACACAGAATTTAGCGTACCAGAAGGGAGACTAAGCTCTCAGCGCAATTTGCCCAATGTTGAACGCGCACTGCCATTTTATTCTGTGGACATCTGAAGTTCCGAACGTGCCACTTCATAAGTTTTTCGTAGCTCGGGTTGACGTTTGCAATTGGTGCAAAGAGAAACAATATAATGAGCGGTCAACGTATACAAGTGAAAAATAAGTGTAAAATTTGTATAAGTGCACACTTTTGACGACAAGTTGTGATTTACAACAGAAAAAAGACCATTTTTTAAGTATTAACGCGTTGATTGTAGTCATAAACCACGATATGTTGACGAACGACAAAAACATGATGAAGATCATGGCACGTCTTCGAGTAGCTGAGCTTCGTGAATGTCTCTTGAAGCTGGCCCATTTACTCAACAAGAGCGTACATGCTTCCGTGTTTGCAGAGTCACTCAGCTACCAGGAGACAGTCGAGTTGATGGACAAGTGCGCCTCCAAGAATTCTGTGATGGCGCTTAGCATAACTGCGTCCACGCTGCTGGTGATCTACATCTGCACCGTCGCCTACTTCGTTGCGCAGAGGAAAGTCAAGTCTATAACATGAGCTGAATTGTGGACTTCCAAGGATCGCATTCGTTCGGAACACAATGGCAGCTGCTTGTAACTTTTCCATACTGCCCATCTTTGTACCCACCTCAACTGAACGAGTGTTTCGATGCGCTGTTTGATGCAATTTAACACGTCGAGCATTACGTTTCAGGCAAAAAATACTGAATGAAGTATTAGTCCACAGTAGGAGGTTTGCGACACCAGTGCACTTGGTTAGAAAAATTTAATCTCTCCACCATGTGATTGCTTTAAGACAAGGAAGAGACAAAAATAGATTCAGGAGCATATTGGGCGAGGCCCTAAGTCCAGGGCCCTAGACAAACGTGGATGGGATGCTCATAAGTTGTGCCTTAATCTGTACCCATGCTGAATGCAAACACGAAAATGTATACCCATGTATGTAAAGGTAGAACAGAAGCCATTCATTCATTTTCACAAAACTAGAAGCCAAAGCTGACTAAGGGGGCGACCAAGGTGCTCCTATAGGAATCATCGTGATCATTATCTGTACATTGAAGTCGGAACAGAGGAACGCACCTCGCACGGATGCTGCCGTGGTTATGGAATACAAAGCACCATTGCATCAATAAGCTTTGCCAAAGTCACCACCAACGAGTTTAATTATGTTGCTACAGTGAGAAAAATAAACTTCTGGTGTAGGGAAAGGGAGGGAATGCGAGGGACGCAAGCAGATTTGTGGCTGCGGTTCATGAATAATTGGAGGGCGCAGGTAGATTGTGTCATATCGTGTAGATACTTCATTCCGAGCGAGTACCATTCGATAACATTTGGGCACAAGCCGGGGTAGCCACTCCATCAAATGGCGTTGTGCATGTCTGTTGCTTTCTGTGTTTGGCTGCATGGCAAATAGCGCTTGTGTTCTACTGCGCCTTATTAGCGGCTCCGTTGCAATATACCTCTCTCTGGTGATAACGTTGGGCATTTCAAGCAGGTACAAGCTCGCTAGAGTGTCAAAGCGGACAAACTGAAATTCAAGCTCAAACTTTGATAAATCGTGAATATACAAAAGTGCGCTGAACTGGTAGACAGGCATTGTTATGCGTGATAACCTTCTGAAAAAAAAAAAAGACCACTGAGTGCAAGCAAGCAGGGCAGAATTCTTGGCCATCGCTTAAGTTACAGGCTGCTTACACAGTCAACAAAAGCCAATCTATTGCTGATATACACATGAGTTTACGCACTTGTTTGAGACATCTTATGAAATCAAAACATCCAATCAGAGTTCCTGAAACTGTCTTTCTGCAGTAGCTTTTGCGGGTTGTCTCTGCCTGCAATGCTGCGATGACGAAGCCGACATGTGCAGCTGTGCCTCGTTCACCGTGAGGCAGTTTTCATTCTCGTTGTTCATTACGGGCGACAGATCTCGGGAAAAAAATTTAGGAACCAGACGCGTGAGAAGGCGATTCATGGAGTGACACTGGCGGAGAATCACTTTCGTAGATCTTTGTTTTAGAGGCGTAGCAAACCTAGTGCCTGAAAGGCACCTTTCACTCTTGACATATATTACCACAATGGTCAATGAATGGCGCTCAAGCACGTGGAACCCCCTTAAGTATTTCAGTATCAGAATAGGAATGAGAAATTTTATTATTTTCATAAAATAAAATTATCGCGATTCAGTATACAGGGACAGGTCCCGACTGAATTGGGACCTCCTATAGTCCTACGACATGCGAGAAAAGTATATGTCAGAAACACTGACGTCAGTACCGTACGAGAGAATTAAGCAGTGGAGGAATGAAAAGAAAGAGGTAGGTTGAAGGTGTTATCGCTTTCTTTGTAAGCTCTAATGGGAGCCCTGCAAGTGCCACTATCCGCATAGCATTTGTGCGAAGAAAGGGATAGAATGTGCATGACTCTACCTTGTCGACGTTCTGAAAAGATTCTTTAGCCACCAAATAATTATGTTTTGTCGCCTGCGGAAACAAGGCAGCTATGCGGGGATCCGTCAACCAAAAAAGAAAAGAAAGATGAGGGTTGTGAAAACATTTCACGTTACAACTGCCTTACCATGTAAATAGATCTTTTTTGCGTATGAATTTACTGTGTGTGCATGTGAACATCCCTAGAATTTTTTGTGTGTCATATGAAGGTGTTGTTATTGAAAGCTCGGCAGAATATGAGTCAGTGTTTTGTGCAGTCCAGTGTTTCTCCTCTGGGTCCATCAAACGTTTGTTGTGAACGGCATTTTTTATGTCTCCACTTGTCTATGTATCAACGTTCATTCGCGCTTTATTTAATTATTTATTTGTTCACCCAGCAGCCACAGCGCCCCACGAGCGAGCCGGTGCTGTAAGAAATTACGTGCGCAGGGTGCACTCTTCGCTTCGTGTGGCGCGCCATGTTTCATTTTGCTGTCAAGCGTGAGATTGGAGCTCGCATTTCACGATGTGGTGGTGGTTCTGGTGCGTGATGGGGAAACAGCCTACAACGCTTCTCCGCGTCTCTACGCGGTGTCGACGACGTTGCGGCTTTTATGTGTGGCGGGCGGCTGCGCCCAGTGCGCGGCATAAAAGCAGCACATGCACTGGTTTTTTGTAGTATGTTTTCGAATAAACTCAATGTTGAGAAACAAACCTAACTGCAGTTTGTTGCGTATTTTGTAAGTACCAATAACATTCTGTGTATGTCCCGGGGAGAACACAAGGTGGGGAGTGGAGTCTGAGATAAGCTAGTGCAGAGTTCGGCTAACGCGCATACATTTAGGCGTTGTTGGTATTTTTTTTCTACAGAAAATTTGGGACCCCATGCTAGTACTGTGGTCATAGTGTATCGATTACTTATGCAACAATCTCCGAGTGGCCCTTCATGACTCCTGTGATACATATGTATTGAGACACTGTGTTGGGAAACACTTAGAGATTCTGGCATAAACGTTTTCGTAGGAACTGAATGTTCTAACACCATGTGTCAAGACGTTGGGATCAATTAGAAAACACCAATGCAATTGGAAAACAGCGCGCACTGACAGAACGCAAACGTTAGGCCCATGCAGCTTGGTTGAGGTGAGAAGAGCAAGATGCAGTCACCAACGGCGTTGTTTGTGACTCGGCGACCAGATTGTCCTAATAAAGTGGTTTCAGTAAGACGATGACTTCAAAATGTATACATACCGGCTAAACAATTGGTATTTTCCCAAAAAGTGACCAATGTAATACGAAAAACACACATGGTTCTCCTGAATCAGTCATTAAAGAATATAATAACGTGTTCAAATAATTGTTGCGATGAATAATGACCGTCAGTAGGTAGCAGCATGGGCTCACGAGCGACTTTTGCACAGATGAACTCCTAAAGTTGACAAAACAGTCAATAAAGGTCTAGAGTAACGACCTTATCGAGCGGTTTTGTCAGAGGCAAGTTGGCGCCACGCACGAGGACGCTGTCATTGTCATTGCAGCTCATCAAAGCTCTGGCTGGCTAAGTTCAGTGGGGTGGGTTGAAGAACAGGGCAATAGAAGAAGGTATGTGGCGAGCAACGCCGGCTACGAATAAATAAATAAATAAATAAATAAATAAATATATATATATATATATATATATATATATATATATATATATATATATATATATATATTAACCATCTTTCAGAGAGTCAGCATGCTCCCTCCATTGCCAGCGGTGTGGTTGCCGCTGAGTTTAACAAAACCACTGTGTTGATAAGGCATAGAGACCAGCGCACACGTGAAATTGCTGAAGCCTATTCAATCATAAAAGCAGGAGACAGGTGCGTGAGCCAACCTTCAATCGCTCTCACAGATGCCGAGACTTCGTATCTACGGATTACTTGATTACGTGCTTGGTAATGGGTGTCAACGTTTTTTATGTTTTCATGTTTACAGGTATTTGACACGTTTCTTCCATTACACTTTCAGTTGTTAGACAGCGCTTGTGTCGCGCATTTTCTGGTGTTTTTCGTCCTTTTTGTGCGCTGATCGTGATAGGCGAAAATTAATCCGGAGACCCAACTAACAACATTCTGCACAGTTTCTGAACGTGACACATGTCTAATTAACAATCTAAAAGGTGATTCAGATGCAATGCTATATGTCCCGATAACTTGGCTCAATTGAAGACACGGAAGCAGCGGCGTCTTATCTTAGCGTTACCACTGTAATGTCGATTTCATCAAAACAAACAACGGGATGCTTTCAGTGTGTGGGCACTGTTAAGTTGGCTGCACATTCTCAAGTGTGATTTAGCATGAGAAACGAATGGTATAGTGATATAGAAAAATTGGTCCAGGAAAAGGTAACCTAATATAAAAGCAATACTGCACTGCTGCAGCGCCCGTAGATTTCACGGTCGCCATCAAATTTGCCTTAACGACGTGCCAGGCAATCGGGAGAACACCACATCTAAAGTTTGGAGTCGAGTCAGCGCATGAACTTGCTATTATTATCATCAAGGTTGCTCAGAGTTTCCCGCAAGGATAGAAAAGCACAGCTTCAATCGTAGTTAGAACGACGAAAAAAAATTGGGCATTTTAATGACTGTGGAAGTTGCACCAGAAATGCATTGCTGCGTAATATCCGCAAGAGATGCTTTATAACACCAGGCACGTTCACTACTTTTCTCAGAAGGCACTGCATGTAAAGCATCTCAAAATAACAGCGAATTTAGATGCACTTATTATATTGAGCCCTCCACTACGGCGTCTCTCATAATCATATAGTGGTTTTGGGACGTTAAACCCCACATATCAATCAATCAATCAATTAGATGCACTTATCATAAGAGCACATATTTTTTCATTAGGTCGGTGTGCACAGAGCACCGTACTTCGCTTGCTACTGTGATGGCATCAAAACAAAAACTTCATTATGTTCAAACTATGTCCTGGAGCGTGATGGCTGCTGCTAATTCAAAGTGGCTAGGGTGACACAGCCAGCGCAGCAGTACATGACAATACGCATTGGGGCAAATGAGTACCATAATAAAAAGGTGAAAACAGGGAAGAAGTTGTAACAACATCTTAAAATAAGTAAATCTCAAGCGGAAGTTGAAGCGCTTCAAGTACTAAAGATGCATGGCTAATGTGGACATATAAACCATGCCGCAAGGCTTGTTTGAGGCGTACTACTACAAAAAAAGTGACGCTACCTAATGAGGATGCGATGCGAGAGTGGCAGATTGCGCTATCACATTCTGCTCTATGTAGAGGCAAAGCTCAAACGTTTCTCTTTTTAAAGCGAAAGCTGTATATGACTAGGAGAAATGAAAAAC